ACCATTTGGGGGTGCAGGAGCCCCAGTATCCCGGGGCATCCGGGATCTCGGGGCTGGATGTTTGTTGGTGTGGTGTCTCAGCTTTCACCCTGACTTCTGCTCCCGTTTTGGTGAGCGTCGCCTGCCTCCACCCCATCCCCACCTGTGCGTGGGCTCCCCTGATCCAACACACCTGGCCCTGAACTGGGCTCTGAAGGCTCTTTCTGCTGCTGCTTGGAAGCTCCTTTGCTGTTCTGCCTTGCTGAGTCCCGCAGTGTACGTGTGTGTACCCAGCCCTTCCGAGAAATAACCCTGGGTGCAGCCGGAGCTGCTGCGTGTCGCGGTAGGTTTGTCTGAGGTGAAAGTGCTGCGTGGAGGTTTGTTTGCAGGTGTGGTTTTCTCCAGGCCCTGGTTGACAGTTCTGAGAACAGGACTGAGAAAAGATGGGGTATAGTCAGCTGTGCTGCTGACAGGCAGAGCCTGTGAGTGCCAGGGCAAGTGAGGAATAGGGTTAGCAGGGCCAGAGGGTGAGAGCTGTGCCCAGTGTCTGCAGGAGAGGGGCAGAGGGTGAGAGCTGTGCCCAGTGTCTGCAGGACAGTCCATTCTTGTTCCTGCACTCTACTGCGGAACATGGCCCATTGTGAGCCCAGGCTGATAAGTGGCTCTGGCACTGAGGTTTACCTGGGTAAGTGATTGGGCTTTAGCCGCAGGTTGGGGGTGTTAGTGAGGAGTCTCTTGGCCGTGGAAGTTGCCCCAAAAGGCTGAGGAGAGCTCGCAGCAGCTGTGAGTCAGGGCAGGCCGAGCCGGGGCTGACATGAGAAAAGCAGCTTGGCTTTTTTAAGCAATCTGCTCGAAGGGGAATTCCATTCTGAAACTTCCTGTATTGTCGGTGTGATGTTCCCTGCTGATTCATTTGCCGTGTGCACCGCGGCCTCCCTCAACAGCTCTTGACAAACTTATGCAAATCATAGTGGAAATTAGCTTTTACTTCCTTCTAAGGGAATTTTTCCTTGGCTGCTGCCAAATCAGATCAGCCCAATTAGCTGCCTTCTGGAGGCCTGAGGTTGGTAGCAGGGACTCAGAACAAACACCACCAGAAAACATCTGTTTTTCACCTTTATCTCTGAAAGGTCACAGCAGCCTGTGCCTGGCTGGTTACAGCCCAGTCTGTCTGATGTTGGAGAAAGCTCCTGGAGCATCTTTCTTCTGATGGTTCCTGTCAGCCTTCTGCAGTTTGGGATTCTTATTAGAGATGTGTTAGGTGTCTTTTTAGGTGTTAGTTCTGTTGCCAAGTGTTTAGTTCTTTGAGAATGAGTATTGCTGTGCAGCTCTTCAGTTCCCTTTGTAGTTACAGAGAAAGGGTGAGGACAGGGAAGTGAAGTTTCTCCAGTGGTGCTGCTGGGCTGTGCCTCTGCAGCTGAGGTGTGGTTTGGGGGTAGGTGGGACGAGATGGGACAGGCAGTGCCCGGGTGGGGAAGATGTTCCAGAATTCTGAGGACAGTTACCTGTGGTGTGCTGCATCTCCCAGAGTGCTCTCCCAGAACCCAGGGCAGCAAATCGGGCTGGGATACAGAGGTGTTGAAAGTTTGCCAGAGCATTATCAGCAGAAGAGCTGATTGCACTGTAAATACTGATGCTTGTAAAATAGGAGGGGTAGTTTCCTCTTAGAAGCTCTTGAAACTTATCAAGATGACCTAATGAATAATTAAGAAGCATTTTTGCATCAATATGTGGCTTCTGACATGGTTATCAAGCTTTGTTCTCCGACTGCCACGAGCTGTTCACTCACCCAGCACTGATCATGTTCATGCGGTGCCAGTAGTGCATTTATAGCTGAGTTTTGGGTGAGGAAGCATCTTGGCTTGGGGTGAGAGTGCATGTAGTGTCTCGTGTTCCTGAAGTGATCAGAACAGCTTTGCAAGCAAACACGCAGTGAGGGAGGGGACAGCTGTGGCGTTAGCTGGCAGAGTAGGACAAAGGGGATTTGGGATCACATTGTGCTGGGGCTAAAAATAGGAGTGCAGAGTCGAAGCAGAGGCTGTTTCAGAGCAGCTGCAGCAGTTCCAGCTGCTCTGTCCCTCGCAGTGTGGACCCTGAGGTGCTGAGGGCAGCAGAGGTACTGGGCAGAGCTGAGGGAAGGTGTTTGGGTGCTCCCCAGCATTTCACTGGAGCCTGTCCGGGTCGCTGCTCCCTCTGCTCGTTGCTTTGCCTGTCTGGTCTGTACATAACCCAAATACTGACATCCTTCATTTTCTCCTTGATGCAGCCACGGGAATAAAGAAGTGTTCTCCTGCCGAGGCATCCTGCTGGCTGTGCAGTGGTTCTGGGACAGGGGACACAAGGATATTACAGTCTTTGTGCCGTCCTGGAGGAAGGAGCAGCCGCGACCAGATGTGCTCATAACAGGTGTGGAAACACGAAAACCAAAAGCAGCTTTTCAGGCTGAGTGCTCTGTCACTGACGAGCTTGCACAGTTCTGGCAGTTAGTAATTAACTTCAGAGTGGAAGGCCTGAGTAGTAGTGAAGCAGAGAGCTGAGCTGACTGGGGAGAATTAGTCATTAACTTTTCCCCTAAGCAAGGTTTTTGCCTGAATCAGTTGGAATAGTGCAGAGAGCAAGGAATGCAGTACCGCTGCTCCCGTACTTCTGGTCTGTTTGTTGCTTGAATTGTCTCCTCTTTCAGGGACACACTTGTGCTGTGTGTTTGACCGGAGCATACTTAGAATTGTTCACATTGAGGGGAGTTTGCTCTGAACTCGGAAAGAGCTGAGGTTTGAGCACCTCAGAGCAGAGATGAGCTGTGTCGAGCCCAGTCTGGGTGGTGGGAGGTGGAATGGTGTCAGGGGAGATCTGCGCGTCGATGTGTCGCTCTGCCGGTGCGAAGGCCTCATGGGCTATGCAGGTGTGCTCACAGCTTTGTCTGCCCTAGACCAGCACATCCTCCGTGACCTGGAGAAGAAGAAGATCCTGGTGTTCACGCCCTCGCGCCGTGTCGGGGGCAAGCGCGTGGTGTGCTACGACGACAGGTTCATCGTCAAGCTGGCCCACGAGTCCGACGGCGTCGTGGTGTCCAACGACACCTACCGAGACCTGCAGAACGAGCGTCCCGAGTGGAAGAAGTTCATCGAGGAGCGTCTGCTGATGTACTCCTTCGTCAATGACAAGTATGGTCACACCCTCTGCTTTCCCAGCAGATCTTGCAGCGTGCTGGACTGTGCGAATGGAGCAGGAGCAAGTGAGGCATGAACAGAGTGAAGTGCTGGTACTGAATTTAAAAAAGCTATAGGGTACAAAGGCAAAAGGAGTTGGAGGCATCTAAGTAGCTGCTCATGGTTTGGAGCCAGGAGCTGTGAGGTAGTGGAGCTCCCAGGAGAGCTCTGGCTCCATTTCCTCACAGGACACTCATTAGCAGGCCCAGCAGCAGGTACTAATTCTGGTCAGCAGTGAGCACAAAGCCTCTTCAGTGCCTGAAGGGAAGCATTTCGTGTTGGTGCTGCCTGGGTGACGGGTGGGTTATCTCTGCAGGAAATGGGAGAGCTTTGCAGGGCTCAGATAGCTTTTAATCGTCAGCGAAATCGGAGGCTTTGAGGAGAGGTGAAACCCTGACCCAAGAAAGTGAACTGCTCCTGACTGAGATTTGGTTTTCTTTAGGTTTATGCCTCCGGATGATCCCTTAGGGCGTCACGGCCCCAGCCTAGACAACTTCCTCAGGAAGAAACCTGTGGTGCCAGAACACAAGAAACAGCAGTGCCCTTACGGTAAGACTTGCGTCCTCCATGTGAGGGCTGAGGTGGCTCTGCCAGTGTCACTCACAATTTAGTGCAAGCTGGCTGGTTGTTCCGTGCTCATTCCATGCTCTGCCTTTCCTTGCAGGGAAGAAATGCACTTACGGAATTAAGTGTAAGTTCTACCACCCTGAGAGGATCAACCAGCCCCAGCGCTCGTTAGCCGATGAGCTCCGCGCCAACGCGAGGCTGTCTCTGACGAGAAGAACCAGTGCCAAGGAGGAGCAGAAGGGCAAAAGAGGCTCCCAGGCAGAGCTCCTGTGCTCTGTGCCCACGGAGAGCGAGAAAAGCTCTTTGCAGAAGGTGTCTGCAGAGAGGAAGAGCTTGGCCCACAAAGCCAAGGCCGGCGACACTCCCGTTCAGAGCAAAGGCCTCGTCTCAGGCAGCGTTCCCGCGGGCGGTGGCAGCCACAGGCCCTCGGACAGGTACCAGCAGCCTCACATGGACTCGCTGTCGTACGTCTCTCAGGAGCACCTGGACTCAGGCATTGGGTCTCTGGAGAACCAGCTGTCTGACATGTGGCCTCACAGGTGTGCCGGTCACTGTGACCATCCCCACGACAAGCAGGTGTCTGCGTGCCCCTGCGGCCGGCAGA